AGGCGTTAACTAAGAAATAAAATAATATACACACACACACACATGTATATATATATATATATACATTTCACCCAAATTTTATATCACAAAAGTATTTAAATACAATAAGAATAATCAATATTACTCACTGCACACTTTTAGTTACTTCTTAAATCAAATGTAAGCAACTGAAAAGAATAAGTATGTCTTACCATTTACTTCAAAACTTTCTCACTTTCCCCACTTTTGTCTTTTCGTTTAATGATCTGACAGCTTTTAAAATAGACAAATACTATTTATATTGATAAATCAGAAGTCTTGTGGTGCATTCTTGTCGGCTGTCACTGCTGTTTTGAGAAAAATTGGTAGCACAAATACTTTTCTCTGTAAGAGGTCGCCCTGGCGTGTAACGCCTGCGCAAATGTCTCTGTGAAGTTCCTCCTTATTTACTGTTAGGTTTGAGGTGGTTGTACTTCAGACGATGGTGGTGTATTTATGTAATTTAGTTTTTGTATCACTTTATTAAATTCTAAATGAATTGAGATGAAGATGATAACCGATAATCATGTAGAATTATAGAACGTTAAACATTTCTGTAGTGCGTTAATGACGTGCTTGCTCTGATAGTGATACTGTACTGATATTTCACTTTCTGTGATACTATTAGTATTAGTTAGTATTAGTATATATATAATATTAATATTATTACTGATAATGATATGGGAGTGCGATTAGTGAGAACTTTAAGTTAGTTTAACTTACGGTTTAAATTAACTAAAACTTTAAAATTAAAAAAGTTAAACTTTTGTAAGGCAATTCAACTTTCAAGTTGCATAAAATTAAAAGCAGCCAATTTCAACCATCGTCAAGAAGCCTAAACTAAAGTAAAAGTAGGTTACGTAAACAAGTTGAAATTGAAGAAGGCATACTTAAAGTCTATAAGTTATGAATATTAGTATTATATGAGTCAGTATTACTGAGGTGTGAGGAAATTATTCTTAACATGTAGAGAGAGCTCAACTTAGTTAAGGTGTTTATCTTTGAGTTCAATTTATTATATTCTCTGAAGTTTAGTTCAAAATTCAGGTTCTGGATATGTTTTGAAAGGTGATTATTATGTTTATACTGGGCAACCAATGTATGTGAGTAATACACACACACACACACACACACACATATATATATATATATATATATATATGCACACACAGGCTACAGTGTGATTCCTTGTGTAAGTAAGTAGTGTTTCACACCATATAACAGGGCTTGTTGATGTAATAGCAAAAGAAATTCATTTCACAATACCAGGGTTGAAGATTTGATTCTAACCTATGACAACTGTTTTTGTTATCTTTTTGTACATGTTTCTCTTGTGAGATGAGACGTGTGTTAATTCAAGTTTTATCTGTATGAGTAACATTTATAAAAATATTACTTGTATATCTTTAACTGATTGCAGAAAAAAACACGATTGACAGAGATCAGTGTACTGTATTTCCAAAGTGTTTTCTGTGTCATGTAGGTTAGTTTTTGTCAAATTATATTATGATAGATTAGTTTTTGTCAGATTGTGTTATAATAGGTTAGTTTGTCAAATTGTGTTATGATAAGTTAGTTTTGACAAATTATATTACGATAGGTTAGCTTTTGTGAAATTATGTTATGATAAGTTAGATTTAGTTGGTATATAGCTTATCTAATAATATGTAATGTTCCACAATGATGGTGTACAAAGAACTGTAAGATACTTTCACAATGGTTATTTAGTTGTTTTTATCTTAATATATACACCGTGGTCATATACCTACCCTCTTGTTTTTATGATCATATACACTACTGTGAACAGTTTTGTGTGTTAATGTGTAGTTCAACTTGAAGTTGGTCATATGTAAAATTCCATAATGGTTGTCTGTGTAGTCAAACTTTGCATTGACTGAATGACAGCCATGTAGTTGTTTTCATTTGATTACATACACGATAACTATGTACATAACCTTAGCCATGCTTTTGACAATTTTCAATTTGATCTACTTTTGTCACTTTATGAAATGAATTTGTCTTGTACAAACGTTGTTTAATTTTTCACACTGTTTTATGAGTTTGGCAGTTGTGAAATATTTAGAGTTAATTTGAATTTACAGAATTTTATCATCAGTACAATGATTTAGACAAGTTTAAAATCAATTCTATCTGAGCAGCAAGTTAGTGTATGTTAGAAAAAAGTATCTTATGTGCACTGTCTGATACCAGCATTATATTCACCAAGAAATTTTATTTTTATTCACTACAGTAGAGAAACTGTGAGGTGGAACTGTATGACTGTACACACACACACACACCCCTGGTCCTCCAGATTTCAGGTAGGTTTGGAGTCTGTGCATTCTACTACCCTAAACTATACCATGTTCAAATTTGCTTCTTTGATTAATGGATATGCCGGTAGGGAGTACAGATTGCTTTGTTTGATATTTGTTGGCTAGATTTGTGTTAAGAGCATGTGATCTGGTTGTTTTTAGTCAGTGGAAGAGTGACTCAAATGTTTCTTTCAACTTTTTTTTATAAATATTAGGAAAAAATTTACCACAAGGAGGATAAGACAGGAAATGAAATTTCATGTATATCAGATTTCTAGTTTATAAAGGAGGCTTTAAATATTTCAAGATATATTACACAAAGTTTTGCTCTTGATGCTAAATCTTAGTCAGGTTAACTCTCATGTGTTTCTTTACTACACTTAATTCTTTGTTTTTCTATATTCCTTGGGTCTTTTTTTATAGTGATTAAGATTACAGTTATAATATTTTTTCTCAGAAATTCATGTAGTTCATGACGATGTGAGGGCTTCACTTGATTACCAGTTGACAGCTCAATGCTGATTGGAATGCAATGAGGATTGACAACATGTTTATCTCGTCCCCAAGACTCTTCACGATAAACTAATAAATATACAACTATCGGAGGAGAATTTATTATTGACAAGCATACATCAACAGCATGGCATACACAAGTCTGTTTAGTGTATCTGTCTCTAAAAATTGATAAATAACAAATTAATTTTGATTGGAAACATGGTGCGAAGTACTTGTAGATTTACTTGACAAATAAAATGAAATGGAAAATCATACCATACAATTGTCAGCAACAATTAATTAAACTTTGTTCATTGAGGTCGATATCGATGAACAAGTGTGTGTTCCCAAAAGAATCTAATAAAAATCTGCCCCAAATTTGATTATTTTCTTATGTTAAGGTTTTCAGAATTAGTTCTTTTTGGTTTGAAATTTCTGTAATTCTCTTCGTAGAATAAATGTTGCCAGTAATTTTATTCATGGTATAACATGTTAGGTTTTAGGTGATAATGGAAGTAGTGGTATTTCTGAAAGTTTTGTTGTCAAGCGATTTGCAAAGAAAAAATTACCTACCTACTCTTTAAATCAGTTTGGGGTTACAGCAAACAAAAATAATTTTAAATGTGGCCCAACCATTGCTCCTTCTTATTTAGTGCAGTGTATCATGTTCACAACCATTGCTCCTTTTTATTTAGTGCAGTGTATCATGTTCATAACCATTGCTACCTTTTTATTTAGTGCATTGTATCATGTTCACAACCATTGCTACCTTTTTATTTAGTGCAGTGTATCATGTTCACAACCAAAATAAAAAGAGCAACAATGGTTGTGAACATGATACACTGCACTCTCTTTTTTATTTAGTGCAGTGTATCATCTTCTCAACCATTGCTATTTCTTATTGGTGCAGTGTATCATGTTCACAACCATTGCTATTTCTTATTGGTGCATCTTGCTTTCTTTAAGCTTTGTTAAATAAAAGCTTACAGTATCCTGTTATTTGGACTAGTGTCATGGACACCTTCATCAAGCTTGTTGAAAATTTCCTGTATAATGTTTGTAAGAAAAATATCTGTTATCTAGTTTTTAAGATTATTTTGAAACTACCATCTTTAAAGATAAAACATACATAGACAACAGTTGAGTATTAGCTCGTTGGGTCTCACAAAACTAAGGCTTGTTACTAACTTTTTTTTTGCCAGCAGCAAATATTGTCCAGTTATTTCAAACATTATTTACAAAAGTGTTACCACTCTGGCAAAAAGAGAAGCAAAACAAACAATTCACAAGTTGTGTGCCAACATCAGATGCAACTAGTTATTTGACATGAAATTCCAAGAAGCTTTATGTCGTTGATTTTATATTTAAAAAAAATTGGTTTCTCTAAGTTTTAAAATAGCAACTTCGAGCAGTGTGTTAATTTTTAATCTTTTTCATTTCATATTAACAGATATAACTTATCACAAATATAGAACTAAAAAAACTGAATTATCCACAAGAAACAACTGGAAAAGTGTTATTGATTGATTATCATGGGGAATTTCCATGAATGATTCACAAAAGGCTACTGGACAAAGCATATTGAGTGATCATCATGATGTGGTTTTTCATATTAAGGTTGTGCTTGTGGCCATGTTTTGACTACTATTGACAAATGCCTTGATTATTAACTACAGTAAAATGCCAGTCACTGGCTAAATACTAGAACCCAGTGTTTTTATCAATACTAACTTTTAGCCTTGTACTTTCCTGTGTTATACTAATAGTGTTTTGAGGATCCTAGACTTATTTCCAGGCCTTCAGTTGTCAAGGTGTGAGGCCACTAGCTAAATGTAAATGTGTATTTACTCCATAATCAGAGATCTCAAAAACCTGAAACCACAAGTATTTGATGCACAGACTTCTCAGTTCACATGAACACATTCATACTGGGAAATTTTAATTCACACGCATGGAAAGTAAAAAAAAAAGAGAGACAAACAAAATCAATTTTAGTGATCTAATAAAGTCGGTTACTGTGATTACACTGAGTGGTGTCACATAAAGTCATTGATTAATTGATTTTTGTGTAAGTAATTGACTTATTGCAATAATAAGGTCCTGCTTATCACTACTTTTGACTATTCCAACTGTCCAAGTAATTGACTTATTGCAATAGTAAGGTCCTGATTGGAATAGTCAAAAGTAGTGATAACTGTCCAACTAATTGAAATATTGTTATTAAATTTTCTCACCATATCATTTTATGCTACTAGGACTATCTGCAACTGACTAGAGGGAAGGCAACTGGGTATCAGTATCCACTGCCAGTTGTTTTTATTTGTGTGCACCATGGTTTGAGGAACACTGTATTCTAATTGATTAATAGCACCCTTGATTAGTCAAATACCATTCTCACCCAGCTTTAGCTCTAATACTTTTACTGACTTTAGAGTAACTTCCAGTAACAAATGCATTTGTTTTACATATTATATATTACAAGTTGGTGTTACCCATGTAAACAATTTCTAAGCTCATGTTTTTCATGTGGTTTCCTGTCTGTGCAGAGACCTTAGTCATACAACTGTTAATTTAATTAGAGAGTTATATTAAATTGATTTGTATACTTGTGGGTGAGGTGCCAAGCAGATGACCTGTTACCTGGTCCTGTCTGGTTTGTCAGCTCTTTGTACCTACAGTGTTTGTAACAAAAAATAAAACATGATTTTAATTGTATTATCATATAGTTGATAACCGATCATGAGCTATTACTTGTAGCACTTTTGATTAACAGTAATCAGATTATTAGACTAACAGATGCCTACTGAGACTATGTTGTTCCTTTTACTTTTGTTTGCTTTTTTGAGTAAGGATGTTGACATTGTGCCACCTACTACTTTCCAATAACATATTTGTAATTGTATCATTTGTTTCGACTCTTCATAATTAGAAGTTACTTATCTCACATACTAGTTACAATTAATCAAGAAATTTCTGATTTGAAATCTCTTGTTCACATCAGTCATACTAAAATATTGCTAATATTATATATAAAAAAGTTCATTTGTATAACATACACTAAATTTATAATGCTTGAAGACCGCTTGAGTGGGTAATGAAGAAAAACTTTAGATATAAGTTTGTCATCATCATCATCATCACCTGATGATTACAAAACCTTGTTGAAACATTGTACATTTGCTGTTATGTTAAACTTACATTAAAGTTTTTCTTCATTACCCATTCAAGCGGTCTTCAAGCATTATTAGTCTCAAAGTTGGTTCCTCGTCGTCGAATTTGAGTACACTAAATTTGTAAACATTTTTACTATGTCTTAAGGTTTAGTATTTTTTTTGTAATAGTAAAGGAGTTCAACTGTGATGAAAACTTTGTAAAGTTGTTTAGTACATGCTCGTGACTTAAGTTATGCTGGATTGAGCTGTCCGTAGCATTTGAAGATCATAAAAAACACACTTGTGATTGTATTGATTATCACAGAGTGCAGTTTAAAAGAAACTTCTTTACAAAAGTAATATTCTAGACTTGACAATAGAGGTCTTTCTGTACACCAACCCTCAAAGAAATACACTTAATTTGTTCAAAAGATCCAGGTTTGTCTTGTACACTGGCAAATATGGTAATTTAGCATTGATAATATAATTAAAAAAACATACTTTGCTTTCTTTTGCAAAAGTGTAAGTAATTTCATATTTCAGAAATGTTATAAAGGCTGGTTGTTGAACATATAATTCAGAAACAAGCCAACTATCTAAACATGGTTATTAAAGTTAAGCTCTTGAAATTCAAGCTCATCATGATGATATGCAAGGATTTTGAAGACAATTTAATTCTTATTTTTCAGATGGATTTTCATGGAAATAAGATAATTAGGTAAGTGTTAAAAAGCATGTGAAAGCTGAGTATCAAAGTTCTTTCTTGTAATTGTGAGGTTTTTGAACTTGGTGATTTTTAGATGTAGTTCTATTTTGGTACTGATTTTGTTATCTCTAAGGAACTTCACAGATGTACTTAGAGAATATAAAGTATATATTTGATACATATCTTAGAAATTGTTTTATGTGATTACAGTTATTGTTTCCACTTGTTATGCTCATTTTTATTTTTCTACAGGGGTTCATGACATGAATATGTATTGGTTTGATAGTTCACAACTTCATTTTAACTTGTTTCGTGTTAATGTAAATTACATCCTAGACATCATTTAAGTCAGTTTTCTTGTGAATGATGTCATTTCATGGTTTTAAACTTCTTGTCTAGCCACATCACATTTCTTAGAACATCCTAGACATCATTTGTTAAGTCAGTTTTCTTGTTAATGATGTCATTTCATGGTTTTAAACTTCTTGTCTAGCCACATCACATGGTTTTAAACTTCTTGTCTAACCACACCATATTTCTTAGAATAATGATTGAACAAATGAATTTCATTCCAGTTTTGACATCGTTTCTTACACAATTTTTTTGGTTCTTCTTGTATTTAGTCATGCACAATGCCAGTAGGTTCTCATCTTTTATTTCAGATATCATTAGACCTATCTTCCGAATATCACGACTCTGTATCACCTATCTGATACCCTTCATAACATTGATCAATTTGAAACGAATACTTGCCTTCACACTCGGTTATCTTCCTCATCTTTTCCACATGTTTTGCCACTAGCCCTCTGAAAACTCCTACCTAATTTCACATGATGTAATCATGCAGCAAAAGCTCTCAACCAGTGGAAGAGTGACAATTTCCTTGCCTGCTAATTATGCTCTCTATGCATTTCCAATTGTGAATCTTCATTCTTCTCCTCAGCACTGTATTGACCAATCATGATTAAATTTCTCTTCAGTGTTCAATTTAACGAGATTTTCTATGTTAATGATACTTTGATTTTGAATTTCTTTAGCTTTTGTTTCAAAGGTTTGAGTATTTTATCATGGCTTCTTAAAGAACACAGTCTTGAATGTTGGTTGTTGTTCACACTTAGGCCTTATTTCTGCTGTGGCTTTTGGATGCTCTTTAACCATTGATCAGTGTGTTGTGGATTACCACATGCTCCATGGACCTCATACTTCTGTCTCATCTGCTGAATTTCTCTCTCCTCAATAGAGAACGACCTATTAGATTGCCTACTTTGCTTTGGTAATACTCCACTATTTGTTAAATGATTTTAACCTTTCCATAATTTCATTCTCAGGTATGTTCCTTTCCACCTCTTTTGGCTTTGTTCTTTGATTTCTGAACCTCATTGTTTGTTATTAGATTTTATACTGTTTCTTTTATATAATAACTTCTTTCTCGTGGCCAACTGTTTTGTCCCTCTCTTGTTTGTGGTTCCTTTTGTTCTGATTTGTGGACTTTCTTCCCTTCCTTTTCTCAATTTTCCCGTCATTGGTATCTATCTGGCCAGCTTGGATTTGGTCTCTTCAACATCTTCGGCTCTATCCCTTGATATTTTGTTCCCCTTCTGTCGGGACTCCTTGGGTTGGTTACATTCCTCTTTACCGTATCCATTCCCTCTTCTTGTGTATGTATTATTCATCTAGCTCCTTTTCTTTGTCCAGATGTCTTCTTCGGTGTTCCCTTCTCCTCCTTTCCTACATTATCATTGTTTGAAAAATACACATCAAGCCAGGATAACAGAAAGTACTTACAACATCTGCCCTAACTCTACAAGTTCCCATTGTAAAATGGGAAGTTCCACAAGACCATTTGAGATTTCCTTCTGGTATATATATTTCCACCTCTATCACATTTTTGCCTGGTTCAGACTGTACCTATTTCATGGACTATCAAGGAAAAAGCCAGCACACAGCAGTTTCTGGCCACTTCATGGCTTACACTTACTGGCTTTTAAAAATAGGGTTTGGCCCTGTCTTCAGTAAAAGCCTTCCTGGACTGAAGCTATCTGGCTACACTTTCCCAGTCTCCCCTATGCAACTTTTTATCATTCACATATAAAGAACACTAAAGTTTTCCATGCTTGAAGAACACAAAATTTACTTCTTAGCTGAAAAACATATCAATAAACATTGTTTATCATAACACATATATTGCTTTCATCAACCTTGCAAAGGAAGCTTTTAGGTAACGTATATTTTACTGTTTGGTGAATATTCATGTTACTACTTATTCAAACACTTGTCAAAGTTAACAATACATCATTAATAAATTGTTTTTTGTTATAAATAAAACATCAACTCTGGAAACGTTTGAGTAATGTGTGATGTTACTCACCATAGCCTCAATTACTAACCCTGTATGTATTCTAATTATGTTTTTTAATCAGAAATTGGGAACTTTTTGTCATATTTGAATATACAGTTTTCGTTTTTTTTAGCTTAATGTAATACAATGGCAGCACAAGTTGCTGCAGTTCCTGAAGTAAAGGAAAAGCATGACATTAATGAAGGAAATGGTAAAGTAAAGGTTGATGAAGAAGGACTAACTAGCCGAATAGAAGACAAATCATTAGGTAATTCTGTCTTTTTAAAGTTCATTTTTAGAAGCAGAATTTTCAATGCTGTCATAGATATTTTTCTCTGATTTCAGATGTGCATATTTAGGAGACTCTTGATGTTGTACTGTGTCAATAAACCTGTGCATACAAATAAGAAAAGAACCACCTTACACTGTAAAAATACACCTGAGTGTGTAGATAGTAGATTCATCACGTTACACTGTAACAATACACCTGAGTGTATAGATAGTAGATTCATCATGTTACACTGTAAAAATACACCTGAGTATGTAGATAGTAGATTCATCACGTTACACTGTAAAAATACACCTGAGTATGTAGATAGTAGATTCATCACGTTATACTGTAAAAATATACCTGAGTGTGTAGATAGTAGATTCATCACGTTATACTGTAAAAATACACCTGAGTGTGTAGATAGTAGATTCATCACGTTATACTGTAAAAATACACCTGAGTGTGTAGATAGTAGATTCATCACGTTACACTGTAAAAATACACCTGAGTGTGTAGATAGTAGATTCATCACGTTATACTGTAAAAATACACCTGAGTGTATAGGTATGAAAATTAAAATTAAATTTTTAGAAAATTGTGATAAACACATGAGTGTATCATTCAGCTTTATCATTATCAACCAACACTTGGAATAGATCATGTCGTACTAGTACCTGAAAAAAATTGTATTAACAAAAGTTGTCAAAATATTGAAAATAGATTTGGAGTATTCATCCTGAAAATAATGTTGTTACAAGTTTGATCCAATTCTTCCAAAAAAAAAATTTTTTTGTGTGATACTAATATAAATATGTTTTATTGTATTTTTAAAAAGAGTGAAGGATGTTCCTGGAAGTTACAAGAAGCATAAACAAATAGAACCAAAAGCTTTGGATGAAATTGAAAGATTGCTACATAATTATGTAGCATGCCAATTACCTCTTTGTGTTTGTTATTATCTTTGTACATTAACAGGATAAAGTTGGAAACATTTTAGTAAAAACAGAAGTAAAAAGTTTACATTTGTTGTTTAGGCAATATTGAATTTCTTCACTACCTATCAATGTAACTGTGTCCTGAATGGAAAATGGTGATTGATCGATATTAAGCTTACGTTATGTAGTTTATGATATTCATCATATTTATTCTGATACAGTATATGCTGGGAATGTTGGTGAATGTAAATAAGAAAATAATATAAAGAATCTCATATATTTAAACTGAATGGAGCTTTAAATATTAATGTGAGTTAGCTGAAACATACATTGTTGTATATGTATTTATAACTTCTTTATACTTTAGGGGAAACTGTGCAGAAAAAACGCCCACCCCCTGTAGATGTAAGTAAGTTTTTAACATTTACTATAAAAGAGATGTTAAAAGTTGTGTTATTTAAAATAAATAGCAACATTATCAACCCTTAGTTATTCAACGATCAAGTTGTAATCAGGCTGACAGGAACTGAAAATGTCAGAAAAAATTCTCATGGAAAGATGTAAAAGTGTTTTCCAGGAATCAGCATGTTTCATTAACAATTAGAAAAGTCCTAAATCATTTGCTACAAAATGTTTAAATACAAAATACTCCAAGCACTGACATAATTGTTTTCCTTTTGACATTATATTATCCATATGACATTAGTAGTCTATACTGTATGCCTTTTGTAGCTGACAGAAGCTAAACTACTACAACAACAAATAAGTCATGGATCCAAAACTCCCAATACAAGTGGTCCTCAGACTCCGGGAACTGCTACGGAGAAGAAGAGGGATAGAGAACGAAAAATTGGACACAGAAGAGTGGAAGAAGGTGGTCAAATTACGTATAAAAAGGTGTGTGTGTGTTGAAAAATTTGGTAGTATTCATCAAAACAGTGTAAATAACATATTATTTGTTATTTATTAAGTAATATTAGATATTGTTCTTTATTTGTATCTCAAAATTATCAGATCAATTTCCTTTGGAGTACCAAGTTTCAGATGCTTCTTTTTTTTACCATCACCAAAATGATCTATATATGAAACATCAAATATTGTTATTGATTATCTCAGGTTTAACGTTAACTTTGTAAAAGTAATGTATATGTATTTTTAATTTATAGCCTTAAACTTGACAGGGTGGAATAATTTTGATTCAGTTTGTCTTGAATCAGTTCATGAATGTCTTTAACATTTCTAGATTCAAACATCCCAAATCATGGGATCATTTCAACTAGGAATTGGGTATGCTGTGGGAAAGCTAGCGTCAAAACCAGAACGAGATGTTTTAATGCAGGATTTTGCCATTGTGGAGACTATATCTTTTGCAGGGTAATTTGTGCTTACGTAACACGTGGTAGTAGAACTTTTATTATTCCTGAATATTGTTTTTGAACTTCATTATTGTGTTATTAACAAGAATTCATTATATTTATACATTTGTATTTTAGTGTAAAGGTTAATAACTTGTATGTGAAGTAGTAAAAACATTGAAGTTTGATGAATGGAAGAATACATTGCTCATAACTGACATGATAGGTCAAACTATTGAATAAACTTGTTCAAGGCCAGTGTGCTAAGCCTAATTAGTGAATTAACCATAAAGAATAGAATTGTTTGCTCACCGATAAGATTTTACAGGCCTACTTAATAACTGGGGTAATTATAACAAATGTAGTTATGGTTTTTTCTTGGATAAATGTTACAGGCCCACTTAGTAATTCAGGTAATTATAACAAATAGAACTTTGTTTTGTTCATGGATAACACATTACAGGCCTACTTAATATCTGGGGTAACTATAACAAATAGAATTATGACTTGTTTGTGGATAACGTGTTCAGGACTACTGAGAAAGTGAGGTAGATATAGTGAATCAAGCTGAGGCTTGTTCATGGTTAACTTGCTAGGCCTTCTGAGTAATTAAAATAACTAAAAAATATAGGATTATGACTTGTTCACGGATAACTTGCTAGGCCTACTGAGTAATTAAAATAACTAAAAAATATAGGATTATGGCGTGTTCATGGTTAACTTGCTAGGCCTACTGAGTAATTAAAATAACTAACAAATATAGGATTGTGGCTTGTTCATGGTTAACTTGCTAGGCCTACTGAGTAATTAAAATAACTAACAAATATAGGATTATGGCTTGTTCATGGTTAACTTGTTAGGCCTACTGAGTAATTAAAATAAC